GCGGTTAGCTGGGCTGCTTCCACCTCCACCCTGCAACAAGACATCATGCAGTCCAGTCTCCAGCTTGAATGTCTCCAAGCTGTTCCTGGAAGGATGAGCCATTTGAGCCAGGAAGAGATTAAATTATTGGAACTGAACAAAAGCAATTTCCACGATAAGTGCTTGCCCTGTGGTTTGCACGTCGAACCCGTCGTGCTGCTGCCTCTGACTCAGACTGAATTGATGGTGGCCTGCTCTGAATAATTACTTTGGCTTTTCTTGGAGGCGCTGATACCCTGACGTGTGAAACTCTTCTCACATGTTGGCTTCCTCCATACAGAGCTTCCCCAGGCCTAAGTCTTTTAATTAGTATAAACCAAGGACAATGCTAAAAGCAGTGGTCTCTCACTGGTGTAGGTGAGTTACTGACTTCATTGGTCTAATTTCTTCTTCTCAGAGAGCAGAAGGAAGCCTGCCATTATGCTGTAGAAATCAGCATAGCTCCAGTCGGGTGCCTGGTGGCTGCTATGGAGCCAATTCCCCCAGGTGCCCCCTCCACATCAGATTTTACATCGTATGAAATGGGTTCAGTACAACAGGACTGTTGCAGCATGTTTGTTCTTGCATTGAGCTTTCCCTGTGTGCATGGAGCAGATGTACAAATATCCAACATCCTCAAGCTATCCGTTATCCCCTCGCTTTCTAGGATGTCTCTTGGCTCCCAACCACTCCACCAGGGACTAACAGTCCTTGTGGCCACATACCAGTGCCGAAACCAGCCCACTGCTGCAGCGAGCCTGGCCAGAAAAGAAACTGAAAGGACGTCCTGAGCACATGGTGGACAGGATCCGAAAAGTGGTTGGAGCTGCTTTCCTTTTTGCTGTGATGATGCCACTGTGAGAGAGCAGTTCTCAGCTCTAGGAGGCTGCAGAAGCCTACAAAACCTGGTGTTTAAGTCAATCAGCAGAGAGATTTTGCTCTGCACCCTCTTCTTGTTCCCCATTCTCCCCATTTCTTCTCGCTCACAGAGGATCTGTGTGATCTGGTGTGTGTGATGTTACCTGCACGGCTGTCAAATCATGGGAGTAAAGGACTTCCCTTTTTCTACGCTGGTAACACTGCAACAGAATTAACCACTATGCAAATGTAATAAAACCCTGATCTGCAAAGAACTCCACAGCTAGATGCTTTTAGAGCTGCACGACACCTTTCCTTCTTTGAGGGCTGGTGCAGGTGCAGAGCAGCTCTGCAGACCCAGACTTCAGTCTGTTATTGCTGCACCCTCACATCATTTTCTCTTGCATCATCCTCTTCAACTTGACTAGCACATCCTAACCATGCAGAGGCAGTGAGTGTGCTTTTCCCTGTTCTAGGGGAGAAAAATCTCACAGGGTCCAAAACAAAGCAGTTTGCTCAGAATCGGAGAAAGTTGGCATCCGTGTCAGGTTCTCAGTTTAAGAGGTTTTAAACACCCTGCTCTGAGCTCTCTGCTCTGTGGCATTCCTCCCTCCGAGCTGTAGCCACTCTTAATTTAACTGGATAACCCAGAAAATAAGATATACACATATATATAAATCAGATATATATTTCTAGGATGTTGGTTTCTTATTTTTTCTTATTTTTTTCTCTTGTTTTGAACAGGACAGGAACAAAACCTGGCTGCTTTAGCATGGGTGCGGGTGCTCACTGCTATGGCTTGTTCACACAAATCTCCAGCTGCAAGACCTGCATCTGCTGTGGTGCTGAGGAAGCCTAAAGGCTCCAGCCTGGTGTATCCACTACTGCAGAGAGTTTTGCTTGAATGCAGTTGCAGTGGTGTGAATTATTGATATTAAGGTTTGCTGTTCACACAGGAATTTGTGCTTCTTCCCCATGTCACGCTGTGAATGCACTCCCAGGTCACATAAAGGGTTAACACCCTTTCACCTGCGTGGTTGTGACACCGATTCAGCCATTTCAGGGCTGGGGCTGCAAAATTAGCTAAAAACCAGTGTCAACAGCTCTTTCCTAACAAAACAAGCCAGCGTCAGGTGGAAGGAGCTAACACGGAAGGGCAAGGAGAACGTATAGTTGTGTCTGTGCATTTTCAGAGCATCACCACAAAGATGATGAAAAGATTTCCAGGAATTTCTGAGCATCCTTTGCCCTGACCTCAGTCTGGCATTTCCAGAGGCTGCCCTTGCTGCCGCTGTACTTAGCACCTCGGGAGAGCGCATTAATAACATCCGTTTCTAAGGCAACAACCTTGCGCTCTAGGAAAGACTGAGTTGAAAGTGTGCATGTTTGCAAACAAGCACATTTCACACATAAATATGTAAGTATTTATATACATATGTATATAAATTCACATCAGGCTTAACAAGTCACTTAGCAGTGGGGAGACAGAACGCATCTGAATGAGGGTGATGTATTGACAGTGACAAGCGGTTTCCAGAGAGTTTGGCCAAAGACTTTGCAAGAAGTAGGGGCAAATTCATTAAGCATTCCCTGCTAGGTCATACCCACAGGAAAAATGCAGGGAAAAGCTCAGATGAGCTGTTGGCTCCAGTGGACATGGACAGGAACAGTCTGACATGGACAAGGCTGAGCAGTGATGCCCATCAGCTTCCCGGGAGTCTCCACCAGCCCTGCCAGGGCAACCTTCCTCCTTTACCCTTAGTGGGATGGAAAACCCTGATGCTGTCCCTGCTCTACACCAGGAATCACAATCTTTAGGAGCCAGTGTCCATCAGGAGAGCCTCACTGCCTGCCCTGGATCAACACTGCTGGTTGGCTCTGGAGCAACACCCAACCTCTTAACCTTGGATAAACCAGGAGTGAATCTGTGGAGTTACCCCTGTACATGTGAGAGTGAACCAAGCCCTTGATATTCCACTGAACAAAAGTTTAGCTTTGATTTTGGCTCATTTATTTCCAACTTTTCTCTCTCTCTCTCTCCACATCTCCTCCACCCACTAGGCTGCTTGTTTCCCAACGTGAAGTCTAAAGTAATTGTGATGGGACTTCGGTTCTGAGAACCACTGTTGATCAACCCTTGCTGGCCCTGTTCTCCTGCTCCGTCTGTCCTTTATGAAACGCTCCCCTCATCACTGACAACAGGCTCTGTTATATTTGATTTTATTACAAGATATAAATTTCTGTCTGCAGCCCTGGCTTCCAGCACATGGAGGAGAGAGAGAGATTGCCTAGCAACCAGCAGAACAAAAAAATTAAAGAGAATCAATAAGTCTTAATGGAAAGCTAAACAGAGACTAAAACCAGTGCCCTTCCCTCCTCCCAGCCTCTGCCCTCGGTAAGCTCATGATGATGTGCAGCATCCTGGTTATTGCATGGAGAATTCAGCAAGTGCATGTTCTGGAAAAGCCGGAGTGCAAATGCAAACATAACCTAACCTGGACTTAGGTGAAGCTCTGATCCGGTAAGCATTTACACTGACAAGCTTGAATATAGCACGGGTGTGGAGGATTAGGGCTAAGATACTGTGCTGAGCTGGTGTTACTGAGTCGATGGCTCTGTTCTGGGTTAGGATTAGTGACTCGGAGGTTGAAGAAGGTGAGGGTCTGGATGCAGCAGCTCAGCTTCTCCACAGAAAGCCCATGTCTGGGATTATGCCTTTGGTTAGCACAGGAATGACTTTCCAGACCCCATCATCATGCACATGTAAAACAAGCAAACCCCAGCATGACGCGTAATGCTGCGTAGGGTCAGCAAGGAACACTGACATTAGTTTAAACCGGTCAGAAATCAACTCAGTTACAGTCCCTTGTCTGACAGCACAAAGGTCATCTAGGAAAATGTCTGCCAGGCAAGAGAGGCATTGTAAACCTGCCAGCCCATGATTCTGCCCGTGTTCAAGGGTTTATGCCATTGTCTCCCACAAAGAGGTCCCTGAATTCTGCTCACATCCATGTATGGTTGTAGGACCAAGATGGTGATTTGGTTGTGGACGTTCTGCAGGAGCACCCTCCTCCTGCAGACACTGGTGCACACCCCAGGGAGGAGCACAAATGGCATGAGCTGAGCCTGCAGGAAGGTGCTCTGCTTTGTTGGAGGAAGCAGAGATGGACCATTTGAATGGGGGACTTTCATAGCTAAACCAAAACCCTTTCTGTAAGAAGAGCTGTATGAACCATAGGTAGGTCATAGCACCATTGCAGATGCATGTGACACATTCCCGAGAAGGTTTCAGCAGGGGTTAGGGCAGCAGCCCAGGAGGCACAGCTCTGAACCCCGCCTCAGCCAAAGGCTTCCCTCATCGCCACCCCAGGTCAGCCTCTTGTTCTTAGCTGGTAAAGCAAGACCGGGAGCCTTGTCCTGTAGGTGACAGGAAACACAGCCACAGTGGTATGGGGAATTCTGCCCCTGTCCTTGGGGTGTTTTCTCCACCAATACTCCCTTGACATCATGGAGGGGTGTGAAAAGTGTGAGAAGATGCCTGGGGGATAGTCCTGCTGAGATGCAGACATGGAAGGTGGTGATGAAGGAGGAACGTTCTGGAGTGTGGGTGGGTGCCAGTTAAGCACTTATGAGTATCCCCTAACGATGCTAATCTAAAGAAATGCCCCCAAAGCACTGCTCTTGGACCCACCAATGTGCTGGAGCAGCGAGACCCCATCCAGCAAGGACCAACCTCCTGGCCCCCATATTCCCCACTGCCACGCCAGCTCCCAGCCTCGAGAGATGCCCAGAGAGAGCATCCCCTCGCCAGGCACCCCAAATTAAACCTGGGAAGGGACCGCTCGGTGGCTGGGGACACCCGTGGGGGCTGGGATGCCCTGGTGGTGGGGAACCCCCACGGGAACGGGGCTCCCCGGCGACGAGCGGCCGCTGGAGGTCGCGGGCGAGCGGCTCAGGGAGCCGCCAGCCCCCCGGGTCCTGCGGAAGGCGGAACCGGCACCGTGCCCGGGCGGGCGGCTCCGGCGGCGGCAGCAACAGCAACGGCAGCGGCGAGGCTCGGAGGCGTCAGGGCAGGACCCGCCCCGGCGCGTCCCCTCCCGGCGGCGGCGCGGCCCGTTCACCTTGCGCGGGGCGAGCGGGGCCGCATGGAGCAGCCCGGGCGCGCCGCCCGCCTCGCCAGCGCCCCCCGCCCCGCACCGTGAAGCTCGCCCAGCCGCGGCGGAGCCCCGCACCGCGCCGCCGGCCCCATGGCGAAGGAGAAGAGCAGGAAGGCGCTGGTGGAGCTGCTCCAGCGGCCGGGAAACACGGCGTGCGCCGACTGCGCCGCCCCGGGTAAGGGCAGGGCAGGGCGAGCCGGGGCGGGGGGCGCGGGCGGCGGCCGCACCTGCCCGCACGGCGACAGCGGTGGGGCAGGGGGGCTCTGCCTTCTCCGGGAGCGATGGGGTTGTGCACGCCGAGAGGGTACCCGAACCCCCCTGTTTCCCCCGGGGGATGCAGCGGGATGCTCGGGGCAGGTGGAGGGAAGAGGTTGCGCTGTCGCTGTACCCATGGATCAGCCCCAGCCGAGGTTCCAACCCTTCCACCCCCCCGGCCCCGCTCCTCGCCCGGTCGCGGCAGCGCTGATGTCATCCCCGGCGGGTCCCGCGGTCTGCAGTGCAGCCCCGGTGCCGCGGGGCTCTGCCCGGGGGAGGCTGTGTTGCTGGGGGTGTGTGGTGTGTGTGTTCCCTGTGCCCCCTCGCCACCGCTCCTGCCCCTGTTGGCGAGCAAACAGACGGGAGGGACCAGGGGCAATGCCGTGGGCATCCTGCCCACCAACCTTTGACCAGGCTGCCACCGGTGGGAGCCTGCCTTGCCCGCTGCTTAGCGCCCTGCACAGGACCGGGCTGAAATGTCCATGGCCCTCTTCGTCTACAGACGGGAGAAAACCTGAGCTAGGAGCATCCTCCTCACTCTGTGGATGGTGAATTGTTGGGGTCTGGCTGTGAGCGTGGGAAAGCCTTTGCTCTTGCTGAGAGGGGTCTGTGTGGTGTGCTGCGGGAAGAACCTTAGAAAATTGCATAGCAAGTAACTTCCCTTTAAAAAAGATAAAAAATATCACCATATAGAAACACCTAAATTAGTATTAGCTTGAGCAGGATGGCCCTGAAGAGGCATAGGGAAAGGATGTCCTTTTCAGCCTCCGTCATTCTGTAGGTTAAAGAAAACCCAACACTTCAGCTGAACCTCATTTTTCTGGCTATTGATTTATTTAGGATTCCAAGACCTATTGGATACCACCACCCAGCTCATACCGTTGCCGCTGAGTTTATGTCCCTAATCTACATCTCAGACACTGCAGTTCACCTTCAGATGCATTGTGTCTCCCAGTATCCAGCTGGAAAGGACAAAGAAGTTTTGCATAGTATGAACTGCTTTGCAGCGCTGTGCTGCTCTGCCTGCTCCCACCCATCTGCTGTCTGACTGTACCAACCCACCTTTGAGGCATCTTGCTGAGCACAGCTTGGGCTCACCAAATAGGCAGCTACCTAAATTATTCCTTCCTGGGGAAGACTTTGCAAGCCTGGGCCATTCAGGTCAATGGGGTAACTCTCCCTTGCCCTGTGTGTAATATAAAGCCCCTTTGCAAAATGGGAAGTTTCTCAGCCATCAGCAGGATGGAGATGAAGCTGTAGGTCAGTAAAATAGCTCACATCAGGGAAAGAGGGTCATTGTTAAAGGCTTCAAATGGGCTTGTAAAACAACCATATTTTGCTCTTGGTGACATTTGCATGGAGAGATGCCCTAGTGAATCTGAAACTCCGAGAGCAGAATTTGGGCCAGTGTCTTTTGTAACACAGGATGTGCTATATTAATACCATTCAGCCTCTCTTCTGAACTGCCACAGCATTACTTCCCTGGGACTGGATCCCTGTTCATCAACCCAGTTTCTTTAATGATCAGTTTCTTTGCCTCAGTTTCTTTGACAAACAAGAGCTACTGGTGGTGCTGTGATGTGCACATTTGCCTGGGAGCGACAATAAACTGGAGAGGCCTAGGGCTGCTTCACATAAGATATATAACTTGTGTCTTTAGGTAATATGTAAAATACTGAGGCTCAATTCTATTATTTCCTGGGCAGGTGTGGCATGCCAGGTGCTTTTGGGTATGAGATAATGTGAGGTAGGTGTCCAGAGAGCCTCCAGAATGGAGTGCTGAGAAGTGGGACGCACAGAAAGATAAAGGGGAGAGCTGGAACTGGGTGGACAGCTAGGCACTGGAAAACCACCAGAGCAGAGAAATAAAGTGAGAATGAAAGAAGAGGGAGGGTGGGGAATGAGCAGATGAGGAAAGCAGGGCGTGCTTGTGCTTTCCCACATGTGTGCATCATCATAGCGCTGATCTGGTACAGCTGAGGAGGGGGGAGCAAAAGGTCAAGATCCCTGATTTATTATTGCTGCTGCTCAGGTGGGTGTGTTCCTTCCCCTGAAACCCTTAGTTAATGTGGGATCCATGAGAAGAGGTAGCCATTGAGCTCAGGGATGCTGATAACAAAGACTAGGATGGGTCAGAAATGTAGCAGGGGAAGATTCTTTGTTATTCACTTTAATTTGTGTTTGGAAGCCAGCTGGGTTTGCTTTCGCTCTTGGAAATACTTGTTTCAGTAATGGGCCAGTGAAAGTTGTTTTTCCCTTCCCTGCTGTCAAAAAAGGTTGTTTCCTTTTGTTACTGCTTTGACATTCAGGTGAGGCTCAGTAGCCATAGCCCTGAAGTAACGGCTTGTCCCAGGTAACAGGTTTTGTAACCCAGGTAACAAAAATCTGGGTCCCTGATGCAAAAGAGCCCACAGCTTGGTATTATTGTGGTTAAACTGTGACCATGCAGAAAAGCAAAGCTTAGGGTGGATGGGGAACACTGGGAGAGGCAGTGCTTTTCCTCCTAGGAGGTGTAAGTAACTTCATCCCACACAGGGTCATCACATCTCCTTGGGGAGATCTAGTCAAAACCTGCTGATTGCCTGGGTCTGGGCCAGAATTTGCCACTTAATGGTGATTGAGGAATATTTAAGTGGCCAAGTCCTGCAAGCCAGGCTGCTGTGTTCAGGATGTGTGTTCTGGTCTGCGCACTTTGCATCTGGGTGAAACGTGGTATTGAATGTGATGCTCAGGAAGGTCAGATCTTTGTCTTCCCCATGACCAGCGTGTATGTCTGGCAGAAAAATCTCTTGTGTAAAAGCAGAGCTTCCAAAAACTCCTCCCGGGTTTTGAGGACATGTTTCAGGTAGGGAGAACAGGCTTACAGTGGCCCTGGCCATGACAGCTGGGAATGCAGAGAGGATGCTGAAGTAGAAATTGAACATTAGAGTGGGAAGGAAGTGAGAGGTTACGTTTTTACTTGCAAGTTTTTTATATTTTTAAGATTTTAGTTTTTTATGAATTGTGTCTTTACAAAATCTGAATTTGCAATGAAAAGTTGTTTTGAATAAAAAATGTTTCAGTTGCAAAGATGTCATCAATCTGTATTGAGTAGTGAGATCGCATTAGCTCCATCTTTCAGGCTGCATTCTGGGGTAGGAGCCACTGTAATAAAGTTGTTACCTGGGGCATCAGGTTCTTTGTTGTTACTACTTCTGTGGTGGAGGCTGGGTCCTGGGTGTTGGTTTGCAGTGTGTTTGTTTTGGTGGGTTTAAAGATGTGCTTTCCCAGTGCAGACAGCATGGGAAATGCAGTCTCGAGTGCAAACTGAGCAATCTCCTGAATTGCTGGTGTGTGATGGCTCTCCATGTATTAGAATAATCTTTTTTTTTTCCTTCAGGACTAATGTGGCAGTTCAACCTCTTTTTTTCCCCTAAATGGTTCTTTGTCTCTGGCAATCTTTCCTCACATCATGAGACGGATGGTTATCTCAGGGCATAACAAGACCTTGACTATATCTCCCTTTACTCCATTTTTCTATGACTTAGCTTTCCACGAAGGGAGAATCATTTTACATTGTAGGAGGACAGGGAGGCTCTGAAAACAGAAATGGAAATCCCATCAAAGTGCTTCTGCAGTTTAAGCCCTCCAGCAGCAGTTTACATGGCCTGGTTTTATCGTTTTCATCTCTCTTGTTTGAGATAGATTATTGGGAACCTGGGTAACATCGGCCTCTGTGCCTGAGGCTCAGAGGGGATGAGGGATGGAGGAAGAGCCGGTGCAGGTGATGGAGGGGGTCTGGTATCAGAGCTTTATGCTGCAAAGCTGAGCGGATCTGGTATTCTGGTCTAACAGTCTATATAAAAGCCCGAGGGTGAGTGGTGTGTGGCTGAGGTCATTGTAAGCATCTTTGCTACAGGCCCAGCATCTTCGCATTTCTAAAGCAGTGAAGCTTTTCCGTTCCCTTGATGTCATGAAGTGCGGGTGGTGAATGAGGGAAACACATGAGTGCTGGAGATTGCTTGATTTGCTCAGGATTAAGGAGGGCACTGAAAGGATTTGATGACAGCTCTCTCCTTCCCCTATCCAACCACTGGTCCTAAAAACACGTATCGGGAAGACAACTGAGTGAGTCATCGGGTCCTGCCTTGTGCTGTCATCCACAGCGACATCTCCCCATCCCCTCCCTGCGGAGCGACAGGGCTCTGCCTCACAGCTAGTTCTCTCTCTTGCCCCCACTACCTCCCACTGGAAAGCTGTTCCAGAGCTTCGCTGCTCTAATGGCGTGAAACAGGCTTTTCGTTTTCAAGCTGAAAGTGGAAACTTGTTCCTGCACCTCCATTGTCCTCTCGCTTAAACAGTGATTTATTTTATCTTTTTCCTGTGAATTTGCCAGCCCTTTTAAAGGTAAAAAAGAAAATCCCGCAGCAGTTGTGTTTAGCACCATGCCACTTTCTGCAGGGAAGGGGACTTTCTGACACAAAGGGGGTTTGATGCAACCGTGTTTTCTGTCTGCTGCTGATGCCTGGGTTGCAGCACAGTCGGGGGCTGCAGACAGCAAGCAGAGTGGGCTGCTGGGACCTGCCAGCTGAATAAAAAGACCTTGGCAAGTTTAGTGCCTTCACTGAAAATTTTTCCTACTTAGGGAGGAGTGTTGGTGGGAGGCTGTTTGGCTTCAGTCTTAATGTCTTTTATTGTTATTTTTAAACATGCATGACCAGGGTCTGTTTATTAACCTCTTAGTCTTTCCCCAAAGTAAATAGCAACAGAACTTAAGTGCTGGACATGAGGTTCTCTTGACTGGGGCATTTAGAAAATCAGCAGGCAGTGAGCAGCAAACAGAAAAGGCTTTTTGCTTGTGTTGATGGCACTTAAATCCCTGTGATTATATCCTGTATCACAGGGTATGAGTTACCTTATCTGTAGGGTGAAAAAGGGTTT